CCCAACCCCACCCCCCGGTTTCCTCCCTCTCTCTCCTTTCTCTCCACATACCCTTAGACACAAGCCACCACACTGTGAGGAAGCCCATTCCCACGAGAGGGCCATTCATAAGTGTTCTGGCCAAAATCTTAACTAATGTTGATCAAGCATCCACAGCCAGACAAACGAGTGAACGTGCTTTCTAGATGATTCCAGCCCCACCCATCGTCTGACTTCAACCGCAGGAGGCACCTGGAGTGAGAACTGCCCAGCTGAGCACAGTCAAATGCCCAGACCAGGAGAAGGGATAATAATGAACGACTGTTGGTGCTTTCTGCCACTCAGTTTAGGGCGGTTGGTTCCTCAGCACCGGGCCATCTGAAGTCAGGAAGCAAAGCCCAGCCAGCATCTGTGACCATGAGGTCACTGTCCACCATCTTTCAGACCCCCAAATCCCTGGGAGGTGGCCGCCCCCAGCTGGGGTGACATCCAGGGACCCACTCACAGAGCACTGCAGTCGGAAGGGCTTGGTGGGCGTGGTGAAGCTGGCGCTGCGGATGGGGTCCGGGTTCAGGCCGTCGTTCCACTGGGCCAGGAGCGCGTCCCGGTGCACGGTGACCCCGGCCGCTCCGAGAGCCTCCTCCACGGCGCCCTCCACCGCGTAGTTGTTGAGGCAGCTGACGGCGGAGGAGGGCGGGAGCCGCACCAGGTGGAGGCGGGGGCCCTGCACGCCGAGGCTCAGGAGCGCCTCCGCAGTGGTGTACGCGTCGATTGTGTGCCCGTAGACAATGACATTCCCTAGGAGAGGAGGGAGAGGCTGCGATGCACCGTTAACAGACCCCAAACCTTATTAGTCAAATGCTAATAATGCCGAATTGCTCCCATAACCCTCTCAGTTTTCAGCCGCGGGAAGCCAGCGTTGTTGCCTAGCAACGGCGACCAAGCTAATTTAGCAAAGAATTGGCACAAAACATCCCACAAAGTAGTCAAGTACTTTTACTGCAGAAGTAGGACATTCATTTATGTTCCTATAATTTGAAAGTTGAAATTATGCTGAATGAAGCTGTCTAGAATAAAACCCTTTCTCTTGCTTTTTGTTCCCTATGTGCTACACTTATTAAGGAAGCAAAATTACTCAAATTCGCAATATATACAAGTTCTTCCTCAGAGAGGAAAGGACAAAGGTAACACACTCGTGCACGTGATGCTGTGACATTGTCTTATTTATACATTAAACTGGGCTGATTTCAAGGAAATGTTTCCTTCTTTGAGAAGTAAAGACTAGAACATTCTGCTTTTCAACAGATAATTTTACAAAGATTCAAATCTTGATTTTTTAGAATTTCACGTGTCAAGACCTAGCCAGAGAGACTGAAAGGCATTATTTTGGTCAGCAAGTATAAAATCACAAAATAATCTTGACAGATTTCCCATGAATAAGAGTATTTTGATGGTAATGGTCTATACTACTCATTTACATATACTACTCAAAAACACTATGGAAATAATTACATATGCTATTCTATTGCATCAGTTTCAAGATCAATGACACTGTTAAATGAGTGAAATGTAGCACATGCTATTTTTGACCCTGACCTGGCATTTCTACCTTTCACAAAGGAAGAAACTGTTATAGACTCACTTTTCAGGTAAGACATAACTGTTTTACCACAAAATATATGCTTCACTGGATTCTTCTCCTGTTTATTAAATGGTACGAAATGGAATTTTACAAGGCAAAATAAATGCCAAGTGTATTCTTTCAATTTGGTTGAGGAAATCATGCCAAAATCAATTTCAATCCAAAATTGAAAGGTGTGAGGGCTTGTCTTATTTGCGTAGGCAAACTAAGCTGGACTAGCTCTCAGATGGCTTCTCTGGGGGGTTCTAGAAAGTTCTCTCATGCTCCCTGCTCCTCAGCCATGGAAGGCCAAGAAGGCTGGTGCGAAGGCAGGGGTCCTGGCTCCTTGCCTTCACTAGGATGCTCAGTCTTGTGGCTCTGACTTCCACTTTGTTCAAGAGCTCTGATGCAGCATTCCTCGGTGAGCTGCAGGCCCTTTGGTTGAAACAGGCAACATTTTGCTTATATTATGGAGGCTCCCACCTGCTGAGAAACGTGACTCTTGGCTGTCTGGCACAACAAAGCATCAGCCTGCCAGGAAAGGCAAAGCTTGAACCTAAGACTGTCCAAGGTTTGAGGTTTTGTGTCCTTTGGAAACACACATACCAAAACAATCTTCATTTTCAATAGAACACAGTGAAGTGTTGAGGCCCCACCTGACTCAGAGTTTGGTGTTTTCAAGTCACCCCACCTCAGCTGTTAGCAGCTACACTGGGAGTGGGCGTCTTCACAGTCAGCTCTGGAAGTCGGGCAAGCTGCGCTGTGGGCTTGGAAGGCTGTACCATCCAGAAGGGCTGCCCAAACTGCAGGCAATGCTGCTTTTCAATTCAAAAGGTAGTACATTTCCTATAACTTCTAATTTTTTTTTTTCCCATTTTATTTTAATACAGACAGTTCACGTGTATGTTTGTTACATGGATGTATTTTGTAGTTGTGGGGGTTGGGTCTCAGGTGGCCCATTCCCTAGATAGTGAATATTGTGCCCCATAAGTAATTTCTGAACGCTAATCCCCCTCCCTCCTCCCCTCTTATTGGTGTCCCCAGTGTCTATTATTTCCATTTTTTTGGTGGCCATTTAGCTCCTGCATATAAGTGAGAATATGCAGTGTTTGAAAACCTCTAATTTTAAAATAACAGGTTTATGTATAGATATTCTGACTTCTAAATGGGTTTGGTTACCTTTAAGTTTAATTTGAAACAACATTCTCTAACAGAAATATAAGATTTCAGTTAACTTAGCAGCTACAATAACAAGCCATCCCAAACTCACAAACAACTCCAAGCATGTGTTGGAACTCACGCATCTCTGGGCCGGTTGACATCAGCTGACCTGACTCCAGGATGCAGATGGGTTTGAATCTGTACCACGTGTATTTCATCTACCTGGACTGGTGGTTACCTGAGGCCTTTTCTACTTAGGGCAAAATGTGGGACCCAGAAAGGCAGGCACCGCGCTCAGGCACAGCTCAAGCTTCTGCCCGCATCACAGCCACCAACATCACGTCCCATGGATCAAAGCAAGTCTCCTAGCCATGCCCATGGTCAAGGGAATGAGGTAGCCACTCTGTTCCCACTCTGCTCCCACTCTGCAGGGGGAGGGGAATGAGCATTTGCTAAACAGCTCAACAGTGGTTCAAACCAGCACAGTCACACACACATTAAATAACTGCCTGCATGATTTCTTCGTAAATCTCTTATTGAAACATGCTTTATATGATTATTTAGTTATATTTCTCTCATTTCCCATAAGTATAGTAAAATCTCATTATAATAGAATGTGTCGGTAAATAAATAAGAACATGTTACAGGTCAGATCACCTCCCTCCACAAATATAACAGGATGTGATAAAAACCTGACATAAAAGTCAAGCCCACCACTCTCTGCCAGTACAATCTCTTGCCTTTAAAGGTCTCCACTCTGTGGGAGATTATCCTTTCCATCAGCTTTGTGAAATTGCAAGTTCTTTCTACATCATGTCTCACTTTTACTTTATAAAGCACTTTTAGATTCAGTTCACGTTTATCTCATGACTCCTATATACCAGGCATAAAGTTGGGTATCTTCACGAGTAATCCTTTATATTATTATTATTATTGTCAATAACTATAACATTTAGATCTGTTAATAATAACATTGGCTTAACCTAAATGCCTATAAATAATTTTTTCATAAACTGAAAGCAAAATATGAGAATGGTGATAATTCATAGAATAACCAAAGTCATATTTTGGGGGATCCCACAGAAAAAAACTAGTAGTAGACAAAGACTTTGATTATTCCTATTGAGATAAATCAACCTAGATATAAAAATATGATTACGCATATTTATCAGAGTAATTGTACTAGAACAGATGAGTAGGAGTTAGTGTTTTGGAAGAACCATATTGGGGCCTCACCTCAGCTTGTCCATAGCTGTGCCTGGGCCCTGGCACATGGTCTACCCTCTAGCTAGGTGAAGTCCCAGCAGGCCCACAGGGGGTCTCTGGCTTTCCTTCCCCGCACTCACCAAGGCCTACACATCTGGGCCTCTCTGTAAGATTACTTCTTTGGACTGTAAGGTCCATGTTTGCCCTTGGTGAACTGTGTTATCCCTGGACCCTTGCACAGGGCCTGGCCTATGGGGGATATGGTCATATCTCCTGACTAGATCCATAGATAAAGGTTTACAGTTTATTAGATTGCTGATCCTAAGACTTTTTTCTTGCTAACTGAATTATACTTTTGTGCTTTCTAAATATTTTGTACAGAATGTCACTGTGACCAGACTTTCTGACTATATATTTCCACTTGATATTCACTGTTAAGTTGAAATGTAAGAAATACCCAGTCACAGAATGGGTTGTATACCAGAGATATGTAAGACAGAAACACGTTCCTCTTAATAATGTAAACTCTGGTTATTAGATTTTCAGTGTAGCTCACAAAATCCTACCTATTTCCAAGTGTAACCAAAATTGTGTGTGGCCACAACAAATTATAGACATCAAATAATATTCCTGCCATTTTGGTGGCGTTTAAAGTCAAAGAAACATGAAATCACATCTTTCATGTGCTATTTAAGAAAAGACAGCTGTTGAGTAAATAGAAAAACAGGTTTATAAAGATGCTGAAGGCAACTTTGGGAGTTTTTAGGAGTTTGAGAGGTTTACAGCACTGGTTTTACTTTAGATGCAAATTATTCTTCAGGTCTTGGGGCTTTCTTATGTCATATATGGAGGGCAGCAGTGGTAAAACGGTTGGTTCTGTTGCAATAGTTTGATCAATTTTGGGCTGAATCAAGGAGCAAAGATGAGGGAAGGAAGGAAACAGAGTGAGAAAGAAAGAGCTCAGAGAGACAGAACAGCAGGAGCCTCAGAGAAATAGACTTTCCTTGATTCCTGGGTGAGGGATAGAAGGAAGAAAGATCAAAAGTGACAGAAAGCAGCTGCTTAAGCCCTAGGTGGGATGAACCAAGGGGAAACGGGTAAGAGGCACTGCTGTCTTTTTGTTAGCATTGCTGTAAAGGAACACCTGAGCCTGGGGAAATCTATAAAGGAAAGAGCCTGCTCACGGTTCTGCAGGCTGTACAAGAAGCATGGCACTGGCGTCTGCTTCAGGTGAGAACTCAGGCATCTTCCATTCACAGCGGAAGGGGAAGGGGAGCCGGAATCACATTATGAGTCGAAGGAAAATGAAAGAAGGTGCAGGCTCTTTTTAACAATCAGTTATCTCCAGATCTAGCGGGAGGGTTCCTAGCTGTTGACATCTGTTCATCCCACCTCCATGACCCAAACTCCTCTCGCCAGGCCCCACCTCCGACACTGGAGATCACATTTCTTTCTTTTTTTTTCACCTTTAAATTTTTTACTTTAAAATTGTGGGGTACAATTCAGGACTAGGTATACAAATATTCATCGTGCAGGTATCCTTGTTGATGAGGTGTGCCCTCCCCCTTCCCCAGGCAGTTTCTCACTACTGCCAATCCCACCTCCCCACAACCCCTTGCCCCCACAGTTTCCTGCTGTCAATCCTTTTCTTAGAGTGTTACAATAGTTGTTCAAGGTCCACTTATGAGTGAGAACATGTGATACTCAGTTCTTTGTTTCTGTGAAAGATCACTCAGTATTATAGACTCTAAGTCCATCCAGGTTGCTGCAGAGTTCATGATTGTTCTTCATAGCTGCGTAATATTCCATT